TAGTGCCTAAGGCATTTGACTGCTCCAGAAGGCTGGTGGTTCAAACCCACCAGCCACTCCTCGGAAGGAAGGTTGGGCAATCTACTTCCATAGTGATATTGCCTTGGAAACCCAAGGAGGGGTCGCTATAAATCGTGTCCGACTCGACGGCAATGGATTTTCCTTCATATCCCTTCCTGTCTTTTGAACTTTATCCCTGGGAAAATCCTGCTCTTCTGATCTTAAATTGTTGATGGTTGATTGTTCTAAGGAGTGTGGACCTCCCCAGTGTTACTACACTTTATAGGCTTGCCTACTGTTTGGCTGAAAGTTGAGCCATAGGGATGTGTTCAGTTCCAGGCCTGAAGGGTGTTTAAGGGGGTGTCACTAGTCTCTGTGCCACTAGTCTCTGTCAGACCAGTAAGCCTGGTCTTTTTTATGATTTTCCATTTTGTTCCACATTTTTCCTCCATCCTATTCCATTTTGATCCCTTTCAGAGTTGTCAGCAGTGTAGCCAGGCGACATCTAGTTCTACTCTCAGGGTCATGGAAACTGCAGTTCACGTGGTCCATTAGTCCTTCGGACCAATTGTTTCCTTGCATCTTTGGATTTCTTTACTCTTCCTTACTCTAGACAGAGACCAATAGTTGCACCTTAGGTGGCCGGCCACCCACCAGCTTTTTATTCCTCAGGCTGCACTCACCAAAGTAGGATGTAGAACATTGTCTTTGTGGACTGTGTTATGCCAACTGAACTTGGGGTTCCCCAAGACTATGGTCCTGAGCTCACAGGCCCAGTAACTCACTCCTTCAAGGTGTTGGGTTATGGCTAAAAAGTTTTCATAACTTTATATATTCATGGACATATTTGTAGCATATATATATATATATATACATAGGTAGAAATATCCTCTGTCAAACCTATATATGCTTGTGGATGTAGCCCCATTTGCCTTCCCACTTCTGTTCAGTTTGTGTGTCTATCTAGGTGTCCATTTGTAGATTATTGTTATTATTGTTATTGCAGGATTGGGTATGTAATAGCATTTCCTTTGTTGCCTTTACCTCTTGGGTTCCTCCCAGTGTCTTCCTTCACTTTGATCATTTTGTGCTGACCTCTTCCTTATTGTAGATTGCCTTTCCCTTCACCCAACTTAATATGAGTGTATCTTGCCTGGAGAGCTTCCTAAAGGCCCTCCATTTCCTTAACATTTCCTCATTATCTGTGTCCTCCACTCTGCCACTTATTAGTTGTCAATCCATAGACAAGTTTTTAAAATCTCACTGTGCCTTAGTTTTACCATCTATAAAATGAGGTAATAAGTGAACTTACTTCATAGAGCCATATGTCAAGAGCAAATGAGATACTATATATTAGAAGTTCTTATCACAACACTCAATAATGTTTGCTATTATAATTAGCCCTTTATTTTACCTCGAAAAAACTCCAAACTCACCACCGTGGAGTCGTATCCAACTCATATTGACCCCTCCTTGGGTTTCCAAGGCGATATCACTACAGAAGTAGATTGCTCAATCTTCCTTCCGAGGAGTGGATGGTGGGTTTGAACCGCCAGCCTTCTGGTTAGTAGTCAAAGGCCTTAGGCACTATGCCACCAGAGCTCCTTATTTTACCTCAGACAGTGTATTTTTCTCTTAGTTTCAACATCTTATCTAGTAAACTCAAGAAAATCTTTCTCGTTCACTTCATTTACTTATTTTCCTAAAAATGTAGTCTCTCTTTAACTGGATTTTAAATTCCCTGAGTTCATGAATGTGGAATACACTTCTTAAGAGAGCTTTATGATTTTGGATCAAGGCTTTACCCTTAGAAATTGTGCAAGGGAAGGAAAAGATTGAGGCCGATTTTGAGTCCCTTGGAACAGTATTAACCAAATGAGATTACTAGTTACTGATAAGCTATTTATATCAGAGTTGAGAGTCAAGTAGGGGAAAGACAGATCTGGGTTCATACCCTGCTTATACCAATGACTAGCTGGGTGGCCCAGGACAAGGTACCTGACTTAGCTGAGACTATTTAAAGTGCCTTTAAAATCAGGATAATAATTCTCCATAGGGTTGAGTGTCAGCTACAAGATAAAGTCTCTAACAGAGTAAAGTCTCTAACACTTAGTGGACACTCATAAATGGTAGCTTTTATTATCATTACCACTAATATGATAATTATATATTCTTCAGCATCCAATTTATTTTAATGTGATAGTTAGGTTTCCTATGTAAAGTGCCTTTTCCATAGGGCATGGACGTGAATGAACACTCATGATTAATTTCCTCTTTTTGTGTTCTGTTACATAAATAGTGCTAATGCTGGAGTAGAACAGATTTTGTATTGCAAAATAACGGAACAGTAAATGGTAGGACAAGGAAGAGTGCTAAGTACACAGTGAATTCATTAACACGTTTTCCAGCCAAATGTATATATATCACCAGTTATTTTAAACACTGAGATAGATACTGAGTAGGAAAGCACATGAAATACAAAATATAGAAAACATATTTCAAAACTTTTGTGCAAAATTGAAATGAAGTGTTTATGATAAATATTATTTATTTTAAAAGATGCTTTCATTGAAGAATCAGTTTTGTTACCTGTGTTGGAGCCACTAATTCCAACTCTGAAGTTGACTCCGAGTTGAGGGCACTCTTCCCACCACTCAGTTCTGGTTGAGATCTGTGCTCTGAGGACCTATAAGGGATGCAATAGGTAAATTAGAATACACTGAGAGAGAAGTTGAACTAGAACTCCAACCAAGAACCTAGTTAATTTGGATCACTGAGAGTGCAGAAACACAGCTCTTGTCAGAACTTTAAAGAAAGTTAAGCTTTATGTATTTTGATTATGATGACCATTTCCAGAATTTCATAAGTGGCTGCAATGTGCTAAGTGTTACCATCTCCATATAATTTAGAATTCAGTTCAATTATGTGCAAAAATTAAATGCAATGGTTTTGCTATAGAAATTCTGCTTTATTAAACAGATACTGTTTTATTAGGGGAAGATTGTGCACAAAGTGTTTCAGGTGTGATTTAGTCTTCACATAGACTCTGAAACATCATAGTAAGTGGAGATTATATGAGGACAACAGGAGACTGAAACATGCTACCCATTAGGAAGCTTTAAAGATACTGGTAAAACTTAGGTGGCTAGATTTCCTCATGGGCATCAATGGCTTTTCTTAATACTTGCATGATCTGACAGCACATGATTAAGTAAGCCAGAAAAGGTTACCTGTGTAACCAGAAAGACATAATTTTAATAAAAATTCATGTGCTATTATATCGAATACACTCGTACAAAATACACATACCTATTTTGACTGATGAGCTCAGTTACACATTCAGAACTTCAACAACAAATGTCCAATCATGTATCTCTCAAAATCTTTACTGGCTAATTTCTGACAATTCAGATGATATAATTTAGCATTTGTAGAAGCCACACTGGAGTCTTCGGGTGGTGCAAATGTTAACACACTTGGCTGATTAACTGAAAGGTTACAGGTTCAAGTCCACCCAGAGGTAAAAAAGGGCTGATGATCAACAATTGCAAACCCTATGGAGCACAGTTCTACTCTGACACACTTGGAATCGACTCTTTGGCAACTGGTTTGATTAGAAATCACAGTTATTAACATTAATGTGTAGGAGTTGAAACATGATGAAAAAGTATCTGAAAACACAGTAAAAAATGATGATAAAATATCTGAAAAGTCATTGGTTATTTCAGCACATAAGAAAAACACACATAAATGAAGCTGAGACAGGCTATTTTCTCATATTAAATATCTTACCATAAAAGCTCTTTTGATCCAGTTCTAGATGAGCATGACTTTCTATCTGCCATTGGAAGCCCCTTAGTATTTTGATCTCCATGAAACTTAACATCATCCCATTTTTCCAATTGTGTTTGAATGTCTATTAAGGAGAGGGGAATGGAGGAAGGGCAGGTGGGAAGTATGAGGTGGGGAGAAAAGAAGAGAGATTGATTAAGATTGAGAAGTCTTAGAATCTGAATTTACTTCATCAAACTAAGAACAAGTGATTTCCCTTCAGTGCCCATGCAATTATACAAAAGAATTATAAGTTCAAAAAATCACTGAAATTGTACTCAAGTTAGCAGAGTCCAAGTTGTACAAGCTCCATCCTGGCAATATTCGTCCCTAGAACTTGAGGCAAACCAAAGCAAACTCACTGCTGTTGAGTTGGATCTGACTTATAGTGACCCCTCCTTGGGTTTCCGAGGCAGTATCACTATGGAAGTAGATTGCTCAACCTTTCTTCCAAGGAGTAGCATAGTTTTACACAAATATATACATTTGGTTTATTAACTTGTACAACTGAATAAACCCAGAACACACTGATCGTGAGGAAACAGTAGAGAGAGTTATAAAGTTTTTGTCCAAAGAGAGGTGGCAGGGGATAGAGGATCTTGTGGATGCAACTAGTTTGAACAGTAGATTGGTTCTTGTCTCTTTCTCTACAATCTATCCCAGGAAGATTTAATCTATACCCATGGTTGCCACACCCACTCATAGGCTTTTGACTTCAAATCTCCATTTTCTGCTCAATTGTCTTTCCTGAGTTCTAGACCTCTACATTCAATAGTCTATTGGACAGCTCCACATAGAAGTTCCACCAAAACAAAAACAGAAACAAAGAAACAAAAAACCACCATTGCTGTTGAGTAGATTCTGACTCATAGCAACCCTAAAAGACAGAGTAGAACTGCCACATAGGGTTTTTAAGGCTGTAATCTTCACAGAAGCAGACTGCCACATCTTTTCACCTTTTGGTTAGCAGCCTAGTGCTTAACCACTGTGCCACCAGGGCTGCTTTGAAGTCCTACAGGCCCCTAAAATATAACTGATTCAACACTGAATCAATATTTTTCCTCTTGACTCCTTAATTCCCTCTTGTCTCTCTCCTATCCCCTGTCACAGAGCTTGTCACACTCTGTCTTCCTCAGTCATGTACACACATTCATTCAGCTCCCAAGTCCTGTTATAATATTTTTGGAATCTATTTTCCCTTCACCTTCTCCCTTGTCACTATCTTGGATGGCTGTGCTGGTCTCTCTGCCTCCATTCCATTCTCCACACATCCACCAGAGCTGGTAGGGTTTTTCTGAAATAGAATCTGTTCATGTCACTCCTTTGCGTAAAACCCTTCAACATTCTGCCTTTCCCAAATCCTAAGGGCATGACATCCAAGACTACCATTGTCTGACCCCTGGTGACTCAAAGGAACTCTGGTGGCACAGTGGTTAAGGCATTAGGCTGTTTTAGTAAAAAGTCAACAGTTTGAACCCATCAGCTGTTCCACAGGAGAAAGATGAGGCAGTCTTCTTCCACAAAGATCTACAGCCTTGAAAACAGTATGTGGCAGTTCTGCCTTGTCCTATAGGGTCACGATGATTTGGAATCAACTTGATGGTCATTGGTTTAGGTGACTCTCAGGCTTATTAGCACCATTCCACCATCCTTGAATACCATTCTTTACTAAATAAATACATATATTTACTTGAAAAGACACATCTTTGTGTTTATCTGTCTTCTTTGCTTCTAAATCTCTGTCTTTGTACCAGGGATGTTCTGCCCTGTCCTCCTCATCCCTTTCCTGATTCATCTTTTTCATCAGGCAAATTCCTACTAATCCCTGAAAATGCTCTCACAGTACTTCCTTTAAGACATTTTCTCTAAGTTCTAGGCTAAGTTAGGAGCTCGATGAATGTGTTAATGTAGTGTCTAAACTGTCGCCCATATGTAGTATAAACCCAAGCAAATTCACTGCCATCGAGTCATTTCCAACTCATAGTGACCTCATTGGGTTTCCAAGGCTGTAAATCTTTATGGAAGTAGATGACCCAATCTTCCTTCTGCAGAGTGGCTGGTGCGTTTGAACCACTGACCTGGTTAGCAGTCAAGTGCTTTATCCACTATGCTACCAGAGCTCCTTATAAATGCAGTACATTGAATATATTTTATTATAATCATTTTATATTTTCACTATCTACCCACTAGACTGTAAACTTACTTAGGGACCAAAAAAATAAAAATAAAATAAAATAAAATAAAAAACCCTAAACCCACTGCCATTGAGTCGAGTTGATTCTGACTCATGGCAACCCTGATTGGGTTTCCAAGGTGATAAATCTTTATGGAAGTAGATAACCCATCTTCCTTCCATGGAGTGGCTGGTGGGTTTGAACCACCAAACTTCTGGTCAGCAATCAAATGCCTTAAGCACTGCACCACCAGAGCTTACTTTGGGACAGAGAGTTTTTATTATTTTTGTGTTTCTGGCACATAGCATATACCTGGAACACAGCAGGCACTCAGAGAAATGTTTACTTAACAAATGAGTAAGTTAACTCTTGACCATCTAACATGTACACATCACAGTGCTAAGTGATTTTACATGTATATCCTGTTTAATCTTCGTAACAATCTTATGGACTAGTTACTAATGTGCTCATTTTATGAATATGTATGTAAACACACACACATGCCAGTCTGTGACAGCCAGAACAGACACATGTTCTCTTTGACTCTCTATAATACTACCACCTTATTCAAGAAGATGTGGAATAGAGTGGATAAAAGCATGGATTTTGAGTTCATTTAGAGCTAGGTTTCAGTTCTATCTTTACATCTTACTAACTGTGAGATCCTGGGAAAATTACTGACATTTTCAAAACCTGGTTCCTCACTTATTTCAAAGAGTTGTGGGAATTTAGTGAACTAATAGATGTAAGTCATGTAGCAAAGTCCCTGTACATTGTGCAAGCCCTCAATCATCATCAGATCAAATATATTTCCAAACATGTTACATTCTGCTATTTAGTTTGGCTGACCTTTGACCTTGTGGTAGAGTTTTTACTTATATGTCTTCCCCACAAGACTGAATACTCTTAGATGGCAAGGCCAATGTCTTATTTCATTCGTAAACACAGTGCCTGACATCTATCAAGAACTCAGTACATCTGAGCTGAATAACTGAGTGAATTAATCAATACCAATTACTCAAAGGTGAACTCTCAATCCAACAAGAAAAGAACAAGCTCCCCAGGAATCAGGAAGAAATGGGCTGCAGGTCTAATTGCTCCCATGAATTACTGCCTCCTTTGTCATGAAACCAGAAGAAATGGATGGAGCCTGGCTACCAGTACTGAATGTTTTGATCAAGGACCCAGTAGTTGGATATTGATCAAAAAGAGGAAAAAATGTGGAACTGAACTTTAAAATCTTACTGGTACTAATACTGACTGTTCTGATAAGGATCACAGTACAAGGTCCCTGACAGGATGGAATAAAAATGTACAAAACAACTCAAATTCTTTTAAAAGGCCAGACCTACTGGACCACAGAAACCAGAGGACCACCTGAAACTATTACCCTAGGATAACCTTTGAACATGGAATCGATGCTATCTCTGTGGGTAACCCTTCAGCCAAATGATAGATTGGTTTATGAAATAAACAGTAACACCTGTAAGTAATGTGCTCCCTCAAACAATGAACTATATGAGACCAAAATGTCAACATTTACACAAAAGCAAAGATGAAAAGGCACGGAGGGAATGGGAAGCTAGATGAATGGAAACAGAATAAACAGAAGAGGGAATAATGACAATGCTGATACTTTGTAAAAAATGTCACGATGACATGGAACAATTTGTATAAAAATTGTTAAAGGGAAAACTAATTTGCTGTGTAAACTTTCACTTAAAACACAATAAAATATTATTTAAAAAATTTCCTATTGGAAATCAGACATACTGGATACATTGAAATTGGAGGAACCCCCAATCTATTGCATAGGAACAAATTTAAGCCTTGAATTGAAACTGTCCCATAAAGTCACCTTTAAACTAAACAACAATTTAGTTCATTTAATAAAGAATGTTTGCCTTGAGCATTTCACTTTCTTAAAAAATTATCTATATGAGATTAAATAGACAATCTCACTGCCATAGAGTCGAATCTGACTCATAGTGACTCCTCCTTGGGTTTCTGAGGCAGTATCACTACCGAAGTAGATTGCCCAACCTTCCTTCCAAGGAGTGGTTGGTAGGTTTGAACCGCCAGCCTTCTGGTTAGCAGTCAAATGCCTTAGGCACTATGCCACCAAAGCTCCAAAAAATAGACAGTAGTAATTTCAAAATACTGTTAACTTTGAGGGGCAGAGAGTCCACTGGTAGTGAAACAATACAGGCAGAGATAGGGAGAAAGACAACACGATATGAAGTATATAACCATTGTCAATGAACTGTGCATGTAAAAAGTGTGTATTTTCATTAAAATTTTTTTTTTAAATAAAAGGACCTGTGCCCTGATTAATTTCCCAAATAGAATTCATCTTTTCCATTCATTTGATCACTGTCTTAATGTCATTTATGGAACTTCCTTGTTGTAGCAACACTCAGTTGGTAAACTTCTGTTTTCCAGCAGGACAAGGTTGAACAGCAGCAGATGAAAGCCATTGTCTTACCTAAATCTAAGGATGAAGTCTCGGGGACTCTGACAGGCTGGCCTCTCTGCTCAGTATCTGCACTGATGAGGTCAGATCCATCAGCCTTCTTCTTGAGGGATGAGGTTTTCGATGAGGCCTCTGACTTCTTGGCTTTGGTTTGAGTTTGAGAGACTGGTTCACTCAGGTCCAGGAGATCCAGGCCTGTGGTCAATACTGAGATGGAAGAGGTGAAGACAAACTCACTTACTGCTTCTAAATCATTTTGAAAAATTGGTTTCAGTTGGGGACAGAAGACATTTTGTGTTTATAGTGTGCTAGAGGCATCACATTAAGTTAGCTCCCCATTAATTTATAAAGATTGGCTGTAGTTAGCCTGGAATTTCTTGCTGCATGTTCTTTTTCTTTGCCTCAGTGAACTTCAATAAGACAGAACTTGGACCAGCCTCAATAGTGATCAGGCTTTGAATGAAATTAAAATGCTAAAATTGAATCTGAGTTCAGGTACTACTTACTTCTTGTTTTGCTTTATTTATAGAGAAGGTTTATTTTAGGTTGCATTTTTTTTTTTTTTTCCCAGAGAAGGGTATCACTATCATATTTAGAGACATACTTGCAAAACAGTTATGAGAAGGATTTGGTGAGGTGTCTGAGTGTCCTTTTGTTTTAATTTTAAACTTCTTAAGTATACAGGGTATAAAGGAATGCTATTAATCATCATTTATTTAATTAAGTAATTTAATCAGAAAATAGCTTGCTGTTTGGGCTCACACTAGAGAAGTATTTTGTAATCCACAGTTGATGAATAGGTACACATGTTAATGCCTTTTCTGTTTGATATGCAAATTTAAATTTGGGTGTAACAAACCATAAAACTGAAACACTTTTGCTCCCTAGCAAGTTGATCACATTGCAATAAATACTGTAATAAAAGAAGAAATTATAATTTCTTCAAATGCAAACTAGGCAAATGAGAATTAAAAAGACAAGCTTTGAGACTCTTCCATTCTTCTTTCTCTTGGAAGTGCACATAACAAGTGTTTGACTAGCTCTTTGTGAGCAACAGAAAATCCAAATTAAAGAGGCTCCCTCCAGCCCCACCTCTCCATCAGGTTGTGCTGCTTCCCCAGGGAGAATTGGCTTCTGATCAGTCCTGGTGGCTTCCTGGCCTATGATCTCTTCTCCCAGTCGGTTTAAGAAAGCAATCGCCTGATATGCATGTGAGAGCTGGACAAAGAATAAGGAAGACCGAAGAAGAGTTGATGCTTTTGAGTTGTGGTGCTGGCGAAGAATGCTGAAAGTACCATGGACTGCTAAAAGAACTAACAGATCTGTCCTGGAGGAAGTGCAGCCAGAATGCTCCTTGGAAGCAAGAATGGCCAGACTTCGTCTCACCTATTTTGGTCATGTTGTAAGAAGGGACCATTCCCTGGAGAAGGATGTCATGCTTGGTAGGGTGGAGGGTCGACGAAAGAGGGGGAGGCCTTCAAGGAGATGGATTGATATGGTGGCTGCGATGATGGGCTCAAGTATAGCAGGGATTGTGGGGCTGGTGCGGGATCGGGCAGTGTTTTGTTCTGCTGTGCATGGAGTCGCTATGAGTCGGAAACGACTCGACGGCACTTAACAACAACAACAACAACAGAGGTGGTGCAGGCACTCTTCTGTTCATACCCTCATACATCCTTAAGAACCAGGCCCTACTACTGACCTTCACCTTTCCTCATTGGCTCTCCTAGCTTTTACTCCTGGTGGAGAATGAAGTTTTGCAGATATTCCAACACTCTTCCATCTGAGCCCCTCTGCATTCAAGGCAGGGCCAGGGCTCAACAGAGCTTACCACTCAGACTTCTTGTGCAATATAACACCTTCATAAGTTGAGCACCCCTACAGGATCCTTAAGATAGTGTGTCACAAACTGTACTCTTAAAAATCTTGTTTTCTGATTGCAATCACAAATCACAGTGGTTGTATGTTGGGTGGTAAGGTGAAAAAAAAAAAAAAACAGGCTCCTCAAGGGCTCAGTGTGTGACTTGGGGTAAATTTCTTGATTTCTCTGCATTTCAGTTTCCTTATTTGCAAAATGGGGAATTAATAGGCAATCTGCTTCTGAAAAGTCACAGCATTAAAAACCCCATAGAACAAGTTCTACTTGGCATATATGGGGTTGCTGACTCCACAGCAACTGGTTTGGTTTAGTTTGGTTCCTTTAGGTCTGAGATGAGGATTAAAATATATAAGGAGCTCTGGTAGTGCAGTGCCTAAGGCACTTGACTGCTAACCAGAAGGCTGGAGGTTCAAATCCACCAGGCACTCCTTGGAAGGAAGGTTGGGCATTCTACTTCTGTAGTGATATTGCCTCGGAAACCCAAGGAGGGGTCACTATGAGTGGGGTCTGACTCAACAGCACATAACAACAACGTGTGTAAAGTGCCAGGCATACACTAGGTACTAAATAAATGTTACTTCTATTCCTTGGTGGCTAATTTAGGATGTTTTTCCTTCCTTTTCCTTTTTGTTGATCTCCTCACATTTTCTCTGTTCATTTCTATTTCAGGCAAGATCCAGAATCACATACTGACAAAAAGAGGAAACTCCACTGGGAGTGAAATGGAGGATGAGACTGAGATATTGGTTCTGCGAGTATCCTATTATGTAATTTTATCACAAAATGGCTGAAAGTGTCAGCTTATCTCATCTGAGTCTTCCTGAGTTGCTCAGAGTCACTTTCCAGTGCTGCCACTCTCTGAGACAGGAGGAATGCTTTGCAGCTGAGAAGTACTTGAGTGTGAGGGAAAAGAACTGGTTTTCAGAGCTAAGTTGCCTTGCTCTAGGTCTAAAACTCAAGCATGGCAGGCAGCCAAGATAGGCTAGCATGCCACACACTTCATGTCCATTGAACATGTAACCAGAAATTTGCAGGCCACTGTTACATTGGCAGAGATTCTAGGCCCAACATGATTTCCTTATAATAGAAGGAATGAAGTTGATGAAAGTCTCTGGAATACCATATATTTCTTCTTCTTCTTCTTCCCCCTTCCCCCCCAGTTGCATAATTAGGAATTAGTCACTTGCTTCTGGACTTCTTTTTGTAGCAAATTATCTAGGAATAGTCTACTTGTATATAGGAAGTGCATTTGTTACAGAATAATAACTGATGAGTATTAATTTAATTCTATATCTGCTTCTCATCATTCAGTACAGATCAATTACTAAAGAGAGTGAATTATGAATTCAAACTTGGCTCAGTACCATTCTTCTCCTCTCCAAAGTATTCTCGGCATCTCCTGTGTTTGTTCTGAGCTCTTGGTTCCTTTGTTCTTTCCCCAGAAAATGTGAAACAAATGCTCAAGGCCCACAAAAGCCCTTGTTTGTTACCAAGTTGATGAAGGAGGTGGTTAAGGTCAAAAGGCCAGCTTTGAAGCTGGGTGAGTCCCCAGGGATGTCAATTTCAAAAGCATAAAAGAGTGGTGCAGTCTTTCACCCTCTGGAGGGAGACAAGTGCTGCTTAAAGTGCATGTGTGTATCCGTTAGCTAAGATTGAAAAATAAGTGTCTCATTGCTCCATATGGGCTTCAAAGACAGCATACCTTGGTATGGATGAGGCTGTCTGCTGTGCTGATTTTCTTAACTCGAGTTTAAAGATTTGCTTAGGCACAAAAAAATTGGGGGTCCAGTATCTGTGTATTTAAATTAATTAACCACCTCTTACAAACCTTTTGCCATAGAGTTGATTCTGACTCCTGGTAACCCCACGTGTTACAGAGTAGGACTAACTGCTCCATAAGGTTTTCTTGGCTGTAGTCTTTATGGAAGCAGGTCACCAGGCCTACTTTCCATAGTGCCACCGGGTGGATCTGAACCGTCAACCTTCAGGTTAGTAGTCAAATGCAAAGTGTTTGTGTTTATTCCACCCAGGAACTTGTCACCTCTCACAGATTCATGAGCTGTGTGGTTCCACTGCCCAAAGGAGTCATTCTCTTCATCCCTGTCTGCTGTACCAAGGTGATTGCCCAGCTCAGTGGCTTCTGAAAGTGGTCTGTATTTTCCTAGTTATTCCATGTAGCACTTTGTCCTGTCGTCTTCACTTTAGTTCAGCTAACCCATCTGGGTGTCTTGATGTTATCTAGCCACTGTACATAAAGTAAGACAATATAGGACAGTGGTGAAATGATCTGGGACAAATCAAGTTACTTAGTTGCTCTGAGTCTTAGTATTCTCCTGCCTAAAGTAAAACTCTACTTCACAGACTGAAACATTAAATGAAATGCTTTGTCCAAAGCTCTTAGAACAGTGTCAGCTTTGTACTAATTGAAATAAATATTTACCAGTACTAGGAGACTCTGTTGAAAACACTCACACTTCAAGAAGACTAGATGTATGAGGTTGGAAATAAATATAAAAACTATTCATTGACCATATATAACGTAGTAAGTGCTTAAAGGGTTGCTATGAGTTGGAACTGACTCAACAGCAATGTGCAATGAATGCAACCACTGCCATGGAGTCGGATCCGACACATAGTGACCCCTCCTTGGGTTTCTGAGGCAGTATCGCTATGGAAGTAGATTGCCCAACCTTCTTTCCGAGGAGTGGCTGCTGGGTTTGAACCACCAGCCTTCTGGTTAGCAGTCAAGTGCCTTAGGCACTATGCTACCAGAGCAGCTTCTCAACAGCAATGGGTTTGTTTATTTGGATTTTAAATGCTTACAAGTATGCTCTTGTTTAAGTCTCATAATACTCTGTGAACTAGGTATTCTAAATTTACTTATGAGAAAACTGAGGCTTGAGGATATTAAATTAAACTTGCCCAAAGTTACACAGATGGCATGGTAGACAGAATAATGACCCTTTGAATATGTCCATGTCCTAATCCCTGGAACCTGTGACAATGCTACCTTACATCACAAAAAAGATTTTGTGGATGTGATTAAATCAGGATTGTGAGATGGAAAGATCATCTTGGAGTATCCTGGTGAGCCCAATATAAACACAAAGGTCCTAATAAGATGGAGGCAGGTGGGTCAGGGTCAGAAAGGAGATATGAGAGGTCAGAGGGAGGCACAGACTACAGAGAGAGCAGGGAGAGAGAGAGAGAGACAGAGACTGAATAGTGGATTTGAACGTGCTACACTGGGGTCACTATGAGTCGGGCGTGACTCAACGGCACAGAACAACAACAATACTACTAGTATTGAAAATGGAGGAAGGAGCCACGAGCCAAGGAATGCAGATAGCCTGTAGATGCTGGAAAAGGAATGGAAATGTGGTTCTCCTCTATAGCCTCTAGAAGGAATGCAGCCCTGGTGACACCCTTATTTCAGGATTTCTGACCTTCCAAACTGTAAGATCATAAATTTGCATTGTTTTAAGAGGCTAAGTTTGTGGTCATTTTTATGGCTGCAATAGGAAATTAATACAACTGTGTCTTCCACAGCTCAAAGACAAGCCCGTCCCTCCAAAGCCAGTGTTTTTCACCACTTCTCTCTGAACTTTATCTGAACCCAAGGCAGAGTGCTGACTTTACAGATAGGGCTTTCCAATCTTTTGTTTAGCACGACATTATTTGGCAATTTGAGTAGTCTGAGACATGATTTAAGTGGCTAGCCATCCCAGAAACCCCCTTTTTTAATGACTTAATTCCATTGGGTGGAATTTCCTAAGGATGAAAGATAATACTTTAGCTAAGTACTTGCTTCTGTTTATTTCAAGAACACCTAATTGAAGAGGACAGCCTACTGAACTGGGCACTGAAAATATTTATGAATACTAGATTACTTGGGCCTGGGAAGTGAAGCTGCTTAGAACTGTTAGAATAAAATAGCACTTATTATGAAGCCCGGGCCCTGGTGGTGTAGTGGTTAAGTGCTACCAAAAGGTCAGTGGTTCAAACCCACCAGCAGCTCTGTGGGAGAAAGATGAGGTAGTGTTTCTGTAAAGACTACAGCCTTGGAAACCCTATGCTGCAGTTCTACTCTGTCCTGTAGGTCTCTATGAGTTGGAATCTACTTGATGATAATGGATATTAAAGCCCTACTTTGATACTTTGATAAGTGCAATGCTATTTAATACCATTACAGTGTAATGAACCTTTGAATTTCTCCAGAGCAATAAATATACATGGAATGGTCAGAGAGGACAGATCAAGGAGTAACCTTAACTGGTTCAGTTAAGAATATGGCTCAAGGAGCTGACGTGCTCAGTTCTGTCTTGTAATGTACCTGGCATTCCAGAAAACATAGTTCATATTCTCTAATATGGTGGCTACAAATCAAAGTACTTTAGGTAGGATTTGGTCAGTGATGTCAAATAAATTAGATTTACATAATTCAATCAGTCTTTCCTTTTTCATGGAATGTGTAATTAAAGCTATGATCCATATTTCTAAACCTTCTCTTAAAAGGTATACCATTGGGCTCATATTTGGGTTTCATATAAATATACTTTTTAAATATTACACTAATTTAGCAGTTGTGATATTTTGCTAGGTGGTTGTGGCAGGATGGTGAACTTTGTTAATGGTAATTTTTCCCCTAGATATCAAGAAGTAAGAATAAATTTTTTCGAGGCTTGCAAAATCTTTTTTCTATAGTAATTTTTCACCTAATAATTCAAGATTATGTAGAAAATACTTTCAGATGATGTACATTAATACACGTAAGCCAAGGATCTCATTTTTCTAGTTCTTTGGAAAAAGTGTCTGTTTTGTGTTTTGAAACATAATTAGGCTTTCTTGAAAGCTTACAGAGTATCAAGTTATTGCTACAATTCTTAATAACCTGTATTATAATACAACTGATATCTTAAAATATCTAATGTAGACTAATGCTTAGAGCATTTGACATATGAATCCATGTGTAATATACATTTATTTACCTTTTTAAGATACAGGATATGAGCAACAATTTTGGTTTAGCTACTACTACTATGGATATAATTTGAGAGGGCCAAAGGAATTAGCTGTCTACTTGGATTGAAGACAAATGCAAGGGAATGTAGGATGTTAACGGCAAGAAAGTGGAAAATATCATTATTTGGTCACTTGAAATATACCATCATGGGATGACAAGAAGTTAGTATTAAAGAAGACAGTAAAAAATAGAAATTAAGATAGTTCAAAAATTATAATTTAGAACTTATCTAGGCAGCACTAACAATTTGCACCCAACAACTAACCTAAAGGTTGGTGGTTCAAACCCACCGAGAAGTGCCACAAACAAAGGCCTGGTGATCTGTTTATGTAAAGATTATAGCTAAGAAAACTCTATGGAGATGTTTTATTCTGTAACATGGTTACAGAGCAAAATCAGCTGGAATCGAATAGACAGTAACAGATTTTGTTTTGTTTCATTTTTAATAAAGCAGACGATGAATATTCTTTCATAGTTAGTAAAGGGGAAAAAAACATCATTTGACCAATTCTTGAGAAAGATATTTCTTATATAAGGACTGTCTTCCATAGAGATGTAAAAAATTATAATGTTTTTGCCTTGATATATATTTTTAAGGGTAAATAATACATTATCAAATGGGAGTCTTCCTCCAGAATCAAAACCTGTGTAATCCAGATGCCCTGAATGCCAAGGATGAGAAAAGAAACACACATAGTCTAAGACCATCATATAAACAGACCCCTTACTTTGAAGGACAATCCTGTCTGTATTGGGGTCATGAGAAATTATACATTCTTTTGATTTTTCCTCTCTAATATTTCACAGGTCTATCTTTACTATGTTTGAAGAATCAAGACAAAATATAGCTTTTGAATTTAATCTTACGCTACTCTTCCTAAGGATGGATCCCTGCTAAGTGACTTAGTTTTGGTATCAGTGTGAATTGGAAAGTGTAGAAGGTACTAGAATGAAGATCTGAGGAATTCTATTCTTTGTGGTTTCTTCTAGAACAGCAGGAACTTCTCAGTGCAGATAATTGTCATGGGCCCACCAGAAGCCCATTTTTTGCCTGCAACTGGAGAAACAAAGCTTCTGTGTACTTTTCTGGGGGTAGCTCTATGGTTTCAAAGGGGTGAGCTACACCTTTTTCAGAGGTCAGAAGGAAGATCTGACCTGATGGTTTCTGAACTTGCTTAATTTTTTGTCTAAATTTCACCAAGTATAATTTTATCTGTTTGATTACGCAAAGTGAGAGTTGAATTTAGAAAAATGTTGCTTGGATTTGATGTGAAAAAGTTACTGAATTTGAAAGGGAAGTGTTGGGAATATTGTTTTTCACTGGGTATCTATCAGTAATGATAATACCAGCTAGAACTTACACTGTGTTAAGCGCTTATACAGATGACTTCATTTAATCTTCTCAAGTAGCCTATGAGGTCTGTTGTTGTTGATGGTCAGTTCTGACTAATAGCGACTCCATGTGTGCAGAATAGAACTGCTCTTTAGGGTTTTCAAAGCCATGACCTTGCAGAAGCAGATTGCCAGGCCTGTCTTCCAAGGCACCATTGGGTGGGTTCAAACCACCAACCTTTCGTTTAATAGTCAAGTGCTTAACCTTTTGTACCACCCAGGAACTCTTGTATGAGATACAGACCTTAGTTTTATTAGATAGAAGAAACTGAGATTTAGTTAATCAAGTTGTCCAAGGACACAGAGCTGCTGAGTGTCAGAGCTGTGATATGAACACAGAACCTATAGACTACATTCCCACATAAAGTGTTTCTGTCTTGTGTTAGTTACTCTTGTAGTTGTAATTTCCAGCATTTTTGAAAAAAAATGATCACAATTTCCATGACTGCAATTTTCTTCACTTACTTAGACATATAATAAAAAGCAAGCCAACAGCAAGCTAAAGCCACAATGGTGAAATGAAACAACTTTAACAAGGTGGTATGTGATTATACTCTTCTTTTTCTGTTAAATTCTATCCTGCACACTCAACATAACCTTTCTTCTTTGATTCAGAACATCATTTTTTCTTTCTTATTTGAGCAACATGCCTTGAATGTGAATGCAGACTGAATGAAATCAATGCAGAAAGGTGGCCTCTGATAAAGGTGAGATTCACACAGTGGCAGCCTGCATTCGCTCACTGGATGGATACTTATCTAGTGCCTACATGTGCCAGACAATGATTTACTGCTTGTGCATGCTTATTTCCAGAAGAATGTTTGAAGACATTGCTGTAAGAAGGGACACATTTACATGACAGAAAATGAAATTGGCTTTATATCATACTAAAGATCATGAGGTGGGGGAATGGGGGGTAGGGTAATGGTGGTTCAGTGGTAGATTTCTAGACTTCCATGTTGGAGACCTGGGTTCCATTCCCAGCAATGCACCTCAAATGCAGCCACCACCCGTCTGTCAGTGGTGACTGGGTTGCTACGATGCTGAAAAGGTTTCAGTGGAGAGTCTAGACTAAGATGGACTAGGAAGAAAGCCCTAGTGATCACTTCCCAAAACTCAGCCAGTGAAAACCCTGTGGACCACAATGGTCAGATCCCTTTGTACCTGGAGTCACCATGAGTCAGGGCTGCCTTAATGACACCCAATAACAAGGGATCTAGAACATTTTAACTGTCATTTCAATCCACTTGAAGGGACTATTCACATTTTTGTTTTACTGGACTTTTGTCATACAAAATGTTTCCAGAAATAATTGGGCCATCAGCAAAAATGCGACAAACCTAACTCTGAAATAGATGCATTTGTTTTAAAGATTTTCTAACTTTATGATGTGACTTGAAAGGCGAGGAAGTAAATGTGAAAATATGCATTGAAAGATGATGCACTGTTAATAGTGGTATGCTATCGTTCAGCAAAATTGGTTAGGTCATATACATTGCAATTTCTTATATAATAAACAGTGATTTATTTATTCATACCAAATAGTGCATATTGTAAAGTTTCATTTGGTTGTAAGCATTATTCCCCACTGAAAATGCATTGTGGGAAGAAAATGGAAATTTTATTATAGTTAAAATTAACTCTATTTGCGCAGCAGTTAAAAGTGAAAGAATTACCGGCTGTATTGGATGTTACTGGCCTTGCTATTGCCTCCGATTTGGTTTCACAGAGAAAGTCATCGATGGAGGGACTCAGGAGGGGTCTGCTTTCCTGTTGCTCATTCACCAGCTGAGAATAAATGAACACAGGTGTCAAAGGGCTTTTGTCACACTGAAGAATCAGATGAATTAAAATGCAGCCTTGCAACAAAATGAGAAGAGCAAGCCTACCAAAAATAAATAAATAAAAAAACAAAACAAACCAATAAATAAATAAATATTGGGATGGGGGCAAGAAAGGAAAAAATAATACCAAGGGGTGGGCAATGAGCCTTTTAGCATTACCAATACAGTTTTGATGCAGCCAACTACAGTTTTAAAGCTTAAGCCTCTTTTTTCCCTCTTCTAGAATAGTTTTAGAATTAGTCTCTAATTTCAGTATGTGGAAAACGGCACCTATTGAGTCATAGTTGCTATGGGCCAATCTCATACCCACTAGGATGAAAGGAACCCACTGAGAACAATGGTTTCTGACTTGGAGCTGACATGTTCTACGTAGCAGTGGTCAGTCAATGGCTGTGTGCTATGTGCACACAGACCAATCTATGTGTTTGGATAAACACTGTCCTTTTCTCCCTCTTAAAAAGTTCATCACCTTAGTACACAGCTTATATTGCCTTGTAACGGTTTTGTAGTGAGTAACAAATATTATTTTGAGAGAGTAGAAGAGATTATGTTAACTGTACAGGTATCTAGGAGATATATTTGTGAAAATCTGTATGTAAAATAGATTTCTATAATTTCAGACATCTTTCCACTTGATTGGTTGGCCTCTAATTATCACTGGCAGCCACCTATTTACTTTGTTATTCTGTACCTCTTTGAATCTAGACTTGCCCAAATTCTGTTTTTCTATGGTTAAATGAAAAAAAATAATTAGATTACACAAGTGGTTAATCCTTAAATTAGTTGTCTTAGTTTGGGAGGGACTTTTTTATATCAGTTTTTCTTAAAACAGACTTTATAAGAAAAAGAGGTGCCTACAAATTTCCAGATTTTTCAACAGTTATTTGCAATGCTGTATTTTAAGACACATAAAGTAAAAAATGAAGTGCTTTTGAGTATTACTGAATCCAACTATTTTATATGACTCTACTCACTTTCACTTCATTGTTTCATTGGCACAGTGTCAGTGGTACTATAGCTTAGAGATTATGAGAGATGACAAGGGACTTAAATAATGATAAGAAGAAAAAAATGTAATTCTATTATTTCTGAAAGAGCAATATGGAAGCATTGAATGATCATTTGGGGACTGGCAACCAAGAGGTACATTTGGTATTTTGACATCCTCATGCTATTATATAAATATAGATAAATCTCAGCTCTCCACTATAGTTTAAGATTTTGACATAAAGTTGGCAATTTGATTTTCATACATACTAATTTGTGGATGTTATCAAGGAATAAGTTTTGAAATGTCCTTTTTTGTTTCAGTGTTCAAGTTTCAGTGATAAACATTTCTTCAATTATTACAAGTTTTATAATACTTATATAATACTACTCTATTCTACATTTATAGACTCATAGATTTCTCTAGAAATCAAATTATCCAAAGTCTGTTTTGGTCTTAATCCTTTTTTTTTTAAGTATTCTCCTTTAACCCATAAGTGGAAACTCCAAGTCTTTCTCATTTTTGTTTTCTGAATTCTAACATTCTTGGGTCTCACCCGTCCTACTGATATGGAAACATTTTCAATGCTGAGGAATTATGAATGAGCCTCCCAGGTTTCTGAGATAAAACATTTTTGAATTTTTTGTAGTGCTGGTCTATTTGAGTTTAGCAGAAATTTATAATATTTTCTGGCATAAGAGTCAATTTTATTATCTGAAAATATAGCTGAAAGCACTATTAGAGAATATAATAGAATAGACAATGACAAAATGGCTAAACATCAATGATTCTGTTAGCTATTCTGAAAAAGGCAAATAGTACATGAGCTATGTGGCTAGGGTTTCAGAATGTGTATCTCATTTATAGTTAGTTCATGTACAAACTGTGCATATATAACAGTTTCCAAAATACCCATATATCAATGTATATTTCCTGGTAGAATTTACCCTTTTAATCATGTATTTAGTGTAGTGAACCCATCTTGTGTGACATCAGCTTAGTGACCATGGCCCTATTTTAGCAAACAATGCCCACCTTCAGGCTGTGAAATCCTGTGGCTGTCAGGGAGACCTGTGTTAAAACATTCAAGGAAGATGAAGGTCACCATCAAATACGGCACCACTGATGTTATTATAATAGGCTTGCATTTATCAAGCAGTGCAATCTGACTACTAGCCCCTGGCTCAAGGTCTTATCGGCCCATTGGCTAAGGTATATAAGGTGCAAAGATTAAACACAACCAATAGAACTGTGACTTTAAAAGTGTGAATATGCTGTATGATATCATGTCTATCTCTTTGATAGCCATATTCTTAGTTATTTCTTAATAAGATTAGACTAGCTAGTCTAACATTATCTAATCTAGTCAAATCTTATTGACAGAAAATAAGAATAACTGAGTCCTTTTAAAGAGGGCATGGTATTGAGAAGTGTCTATTATTATATAAATTGTAGTTCTAACCCATGAAAAATCCTCTAGTACTCTTTTATTTTTAA